GACAGATGGTAAGTATGTAGAGTGAAAAATTATAGATACTGGGTATATAGAATTCTTTTTAGACATATAAAGTATTCTTTAGGCTTTCTTTATAAAGACATAGAGAAATCGAGGCATGAAGCAAGTTAGGAATGTGGAAAGACCAGTCACCATTACTGGAACTGGCCTATCTACAAAGAGTTAGGAAAGAATGCAAGTGAACTAGGTGGAATCAAGCTGAGAACCAAGTTGAGAACCAAGCTGGGAACCATAGTGACAGGGCAAGGCCGAAGTAACAGGGGAGGATCACATTCTTGAGAAAGATAAGCGTACAGAGAGTTTTCACCTGACCCTGACTCCTGTAGGTTGGGTTCCTTTGGAATGTTCCACTATTTTCAGGTTACACCACCCTAGCAACCTCTCACCCCCTTCCCATTCCTTGGCTTGTGGTTTTTCCCCTTAAAAACCCTTCTCAAACTGTCTGTTGGGGTCAATTCAGTTCCTGCATGGGCATACAAATTGACCAGCAGCTAGTTGTCACGCCCTAATAAACAACCTCGCAATTGCTCCAGTACATGGTGTCTCGAGCAGATTACTGGGTGGTCGCGACTTTCTGAGACTTGAGAGAGGGTCTCCCCTCTGCGGAGGTCTTCAGGTACTCTTATCTGTAGGTATTAAGGCAAATTTTAGAATATGGTAAGAAATTAAGATGGTTCAGCAAAGTAAGAATAGAAGATTCTCATTTAAGGTCTATGACCCCACTAGCACAGAGAAGCAGATTATGCTTCCAGTATCAGAAATAGCTCCCCTATTGTTAAGTGGATCTTAAATCTACTTAGTTAGCTGTTGGTTGCCTCCAATATGTGATTGCCAGGCATGGTTCAAATTTTAAAAGTAAGCATATAGCTTGGCTTGCCCTTAGAGGACCTGTTTTATCCTCTTAGTGAGCCTGGCTGGAACACCCACAGAGGCATAAAATTAATGTTTAAACATATATGTCAGTGTTGGGGCCAACCCTGGCAGCATGGGGGGGGGTTCTTTCTTGTCAGTACTTCTTGAGCCAGCAGAGTAGAGTGAAAAGAGCATCGTGGAGGGTAAGACTTGGTCTTACAAGATTCAGGGGTAAGACTTTGTCTTACAAGATATTTAGGGTTGCTGTATAATAAAAGTTTACTTATCTAAGTCTAAGTTATTATACTACTGTAGCTGACCTGGCTTCTGTGATTCTCTGAGGTCAGAAACTGCAGTTATTTGCACTTAGCATCTTATCCTAAAAAACAGCAAAGGATTAAGTAATAGCTTTTGTACTATCTCAGCAGAAACTTCTTGGATCTAACTTTCAATGTGCTAGTCAGAAGTCCAGGAAGAGAAAGACACTTACAAAAGTAATTATATCTTTATTATGAAGTTGTAGAAAGTTTCCTATAAAAGCTATCTAAGGGGAAAAGCAGAAGGATCCTAAGTGGGAAAAGGGAAAAATTCTATCTGGGGAAAGGGAAAAAAATTTGTTCTATTATACTACTGTAAGTGGGGTAAGGCAAAATATTTTATCCTATTTCCTTCTCATCTCTTTGTCCTCAGTACTTATACATCTTTCAGAATACATGTTCACATGTTACAAAGTTCATCACAAGTTCACACAAAAAAATCAAATCATAAATTGAAATACAAGTTTACAACAGAGAATGTTTACATGCATATCCATTAGGAGTAATTATCTAGCTTAACATTCATCACCTGTCTGAGCTCCACAGGCTCACTTAAGGCTTAAAACTGTGCCCTGCCCCCAGCTTTGAGCAGACCTCAAAGACCTTGTTTACCACAGTAGACCAAATAATAGGAAGTAGGTGGAGTTACCCACCTTGGCTACAGGTGCAACTTGCCATAGGAACTTAGAAGAATAGCTGCCTGCTGAGCTTGCCTTGAGACACCTCTGGCTGTGACAAAGGATGGGTTCCCCCATCCATCTCTGGCTGAAACAAGAAGGGTGTTCAGTTGTGGGACTTTCTCTTTAAATTAAAAGTTGAACATTAAACTTTGAGCCTTGGTCAGAATACTTTGTCATGGCTTCATCTTTTCTTGCCCTCCATCACTTTTTCATTTCCAGCCCCCCTTTCAGGAGAACCTAGTTGGCCCGTGGCCGCAGGTGGCTACATAAAATCATAACTGAGTTATTAGTGAAGTTTTGTATAGATAAACCCAGTCCATATTTTGTCTTCTGTCCTGGTACCTATAATAAATCAATAGTTCCCTTTTTATGACCTTTGGTTAATTATTTGACAACCTCTTGGAATGTGCTCTGAGTAGGAGAAAGTCTGGTTACTATCTAAGGGCAATTAACTGGTGACACTTGGGAGACTAGCAGAGTTCTCATTACAGTTTTGACTATTAGAAAAGAACCTAGTAGCAGTCCCACTATAAAAAGCTTAATAATCATTGATATAATTTTAGGAATTCTTACAGGATCATCATTAAGACTTAAGAAGTCATCTATTGCCGGGCGGTGGTGGCGCACGCCTTTAATCCCAGCACTTGGGAGGCAGAGGCAGGTGGATTTCTGAGTTCGAGGCCAGCCTGGTCTACAGAGTGAGTTCTGGGACAGCCAGAACTACACAGAGAAACCCTGTCTCGAAAAACCAAAAAAAAAAAAAAAAAAAAAAGAAGTCATCTATTTGTCTATATAGTATCACTACAAGACATTACATCTTTGTGGATCTGCAGAGATCTGCTCCAAAGGAGTGTGCTATTACTTAGTGATTGTTATGTATGTTTAATAATTATAGGAAAAGCATATTAATATCAAGAATCTTTCCTAAAATGAATCCCTTACAGCATTGCTGAATACGGACACACCTGTCACAAATTACATAATAATCACCTGCTAGTTATTAGCTTGTCTCAGTATGGATCCTAAAATGTCAGCCCTTAATTTTCTCAGCTATAAAGAAATACCTGCCATAAGACAACTTATAAGGAATAGAAATGATGTTTCTCATATTTGGGAATTTTTAACCTCATGACTAAGATGTCTACCTGTGTGATGTCTACTCAACATCCATCTCTCATAGATAACTTGGCTAGGTATTTCTCTATTGCCTAAGACCAGGAGAAGAAAGTTATTCCCTCATGCACTATGTTAATGGTGTTCTTTTATTTCTACTGTATAAGTGCTCTTCCTACCCAACTTAACTGGATCATTAAGTGCCTACCTCTATTTTATCACCTTGGCTGATGTTATCACTTTGCTTTTGTATTCATTACTTTACATTGCTGTGAAAAAATACCACAACCAAAACTACTTATAAAAAAAAAACATGTTTATTGGAGATTTACATTTTGTGACAGTGAAGGTAAGAAGCATGACAGTAGGCACACAGACATAGTACTAAAGCAGGAGCAGAGAGTTCATGTTTTGATTCACAAGAGGTAGAGAGCACAAAATGGCAATCATATGAGTCTTTGAAGCCACAAAGCTGATCCCTAGTCACATACCTCCTTTGATAAGGCCACATCTAACTATATATCCCAAATAGTCCCATCTATGAGGACCAGGCATTTGTGAAACATTCTCTTTAAAATCACCACAGATATTAATTGGAAACAGATGAGTTTGGGGTACATATCATCTCAATAGTGTTGATGCTATGATTTATAAACAGATACCAACAAAGGACAAAAGACTGATTTCATGTTTGAAGAAACTTAGAAAATGTTCTGAGCAGTGATTAGCTTATGATCAAACGAAGTGCACAAATATGCTATAGATCACACACAAAATATAGTATTTCTGTCACCAAATTCACCAAGCACATGAACAAAAAACAATAAAAACAATAATAATAGCACTAACCTTAGTGGTGGCGGTGGTTGTGTGTGTGTGTGGGGAGGGAAGGAGATTCAACTCTGTGTGTGTCAGGGTGAAGGTGTTTTTAATATTTTGTACACTGTTAAAGTTATTATTCCCTTATAAATTCTTCTGATGATCTTGTGAATAATCAGTAAAGACACACAAAATTCTGAATTTAACAACAGACCTGAGGATATCTTTTAAAGGAATAAATAACCAGAAATAACTGGAATTTCATGACATCCAGAAAATAAATAAAAATATACAGTAAGTTTCATCCATCACTTATAATTACTTTGGAAATAAATAATATTCTAATCAAATATAAAAGGTCTAAAGGTAAGAAAATCAGAGAAATTAAAGATATACAGTGTTCAGACATTCTCTGTACATGGTATTGACTATGTTTGCAGTAAGGTTCAAAATATAAAATTAAAACAAGATTAACCAGAAAAGTGTCCAAACATACAATATAAAAGTAGAAACAAAAGGGATTTGCAAGCTCATAGGAAGATCAACAATATCAACCAACCAGATCTCCCAGAGCTCCCAGGGACGAAACCACCAACCAAAGAGTACACATGGAGGGGCCCATGGCTCCAGTCGCATGTGTTTTAGAGGATGGCCTTGTCTGACATTAATGGTAAGAGAAGCCCTTGGTCATGTGAAGGCTCAATGCCCCAGTGTAGTGGAATGCTAGAACAGGGAGACGGAAGTGAGTAGGTGGGTAGGGGAGCACCCTCATGGAAGCAGTAGGAGGAGGAATGGGATAGGGGGTTTCTGGATGGGAAACCTGGAAAGGGGATAACATTTGAAATGTAAATAAATAAAATATCCAATAAAAATAAGTGACCAACAAAAATCTCTGCAAACCAAACAACCAAGTTTATGCCACAGAGATGTAATTAAACATATGCTCCCATTTGTGTAATATTGTTCAGTGGAAGTAATGGGAATAATTGAATCAATAGCAAGAAATGTTAGGGGGGAAAAAGTGACATTTAATGGAATTCTGTAATTTAAGAACTATTTTGTGTGAATACAAGGGGTGGATTCTACTGTTCTTTATATTATCATGAGGTTTTCTTTTTTGTTCATAAAAAGGAATATACTAATATTTAACATTAGTATTGACTTATATTTATTGCTTTATTAAAGCATTCCACATTAAATATTAAGTACAACTTTTACATCGATACTTAAAGACTCTTAGAACAGCACTTTTCACTTCTTTGTTTCTAAAGCTGTAGATCAAGGGATTAAGCATGGGAATCACTAAAGTATAAAACACAGAGGCTATTTTATCAGTTTCAAATGAGTGTGTGGATTTAGGCTGTAAGTACATGAAGAGTAGAGTCCCATAAAATACTACCACCACAGTCAGATGAGAACCACATGTTGAGAAGGCCTTTTTCCTTCCTTCTTCAGAATGCATTCTATATATGGCCAGTAGAATAAGAAGGTAAGATACTAATACTACAAAGAGGGAGGAGATCAAATTAAGTGCTGAAAATAATATGATCAACAATTCTATATCCCTTGTGTTTGAACACAGTAAAAGTAACATGGGGACATTGTCACAGTAGAAATGGCTAATGACATTAGAGCCACAGAAAGTCAATGTAAAAATCTTACTAGTTATCATCACAGCTTGGAAGACACTGTAGAGATAGGGAATGCCCACCAGAACATGACAGCGTCTCTGAGACATGATCACACTATAGAGTAGAGGATTGCAGATGGCCACATAGCGATCATAGGCCATTGCAGACAATATAAACAGTTCACTGATAATGAAAGCAATGTAGAATGCCATCTGCACGGCACAAGCATAGTAAGAGATAACATTTTGTTCCACCACAAAATTCACCATCATTTTGGGGTAAATGACAGTGCAATTGCCAAGATCAATGAAAGCCAGGTGTCTGATAAAATAATACATAGGTGTGTGAAGGCGAGAGTCCAACTTGGTCAAAATGATCATGCTCAGGTTGCCTATTATGGCAACTCCATAGATGACTAAGAAGACCCACAAAAGCAGAAGATGGAGCTCAGGCCTGTATGTGATTCCCGTTAGAATGAATTCAGCTGGTACTGTTGAGTTTCCGTGGCTCATTTCAACCTCCTGAAAAAACACAAAATTCCCAACAAGTTAAGCATAGAATTTTATGTTTAAGTTCAAGCAAATTCAAAGATAAAATGTTATATTTATGTGGCTATAGAAAAATGATTTTATCAACTAACTAGACAACACAGAGCTCCCAGGGACTAAACCACCAACCAGAGTATGTATTTATGGGTGGGTCTGTAGCTCCCATTACATATGTAGCAGAGGACTGCCATATCTGACATCAATGAGAGGAGAGATGCTTTGTCCTGTAGAGACTTGTTGTCCCAGAGAAGGGGATGGTAGAGGGGTGAAGAGGGAGTGGGTGGATAGGGGAGAACCCTCTTAGAGACAAAGGGGAGGAGGGATGGGATCAAGATTTGTGGACGGAAGACCGGGAGGGGAGACAACATTTGAAATGAGATCCTCGGTCCCATGAAGTCTGGATGCCACAGTGTGGAGGAATTCGAGAGCAAGGAGGTTTGAATGGGTGGGGCACACCCTCATAGAACCAGGAGGAGGGGGGATTGGATAGGGGCCTTCTGGGGGGGAATGGGGAAAGGGAACAACATCTAAAATGTAAATAAATAAAATATTCAATAAAAAATTGAAAAACAAAAAAGGAAAAATAATTTTAAAGACTGATTCTAAATGCTAAAACAGACAGATGAGAAGCTAAACCTTCTAAATACACTCAAAGTTATTTAAATTTTTTCTAGGGCAAAAGACAAGATAAAATTTGCATTCTAATGGCTGAGAGAGAAATGATTTTGATATTTTCTCAGCTATTTGCAACACAATTAATAGAATCTTGCGCAGAAATATTGAATATATTTTATTTCCACTAGAGTACCATATTACTTCTTAATAAATTTTTGATTTATGTATAGTAATTCTCATTGAGCCTGGATATTCATAAATACAAAGGTGGAGGAAACATGAAACTAATGACATTTAAATGTGTCTTCGTATTTGGATTTTTAAGGTCATGTGTAGGGCTTGTAGTGATTGACTTAAAAAAGTAATACTATGTCAAACTTGCAAAGCAAGCTGTATGTTTGTTTAGTAATAAATGGTCTTCTCTGAAAACATACATATAATAACATTATATGGAATAGACAGTATGCATTTAATATATATATATATATATATATATATATATATATATATGTATATATATATTCTTGTATATTCATATATGCATTAAATAATGATTACTAAATAGAGGCCATGATTTTGAGGGAGAGTGGGGGGGAGTTAGGGTAGTATTTGGTAGGAAGCAACAAAATGAATAAATGTTGCAATTATACTATAGTCTCCAAAATAGTCAATTAAACTCACATTTGCTTTCCATTCTGAATTCTTCCCCCTATAATATAATTGAAACAATCAACTATTTCTGCAAGTGTTTGTAGGGTCCAACTACATTGTCAATTATTTGATGATACTATTTTTAAAATTACCTGCTTCATTTAAAAGCAACAAATTACTAAAAAATATAAAACAAAGTTGGATACCTATGCAAAAATGACTTTAAAATACTTACTGTGCAGTATGTGAATGTGAACCTGAAATTTTTTTAACAAAATAGTTTTCCTAAGGGTTTATTTATATTGTTGATTTTCTCAAAGAACTAGCCCTTGGTTTTGATGATTTTTATATATTGTTCTCTTTGTTTCTATTTGGTTGATTTCAGACCTGAGATTGATTATTTTCTGCCATCTAGTCCTCTTGGGTGTATTTACTTCGTTATGTTCTAGGACTTTCAGGTATGATGTTAAGTTGTTAGTATAGGATCTCTCCAATTTTGTCATGAAGATACATAGTGCTATGAATTTTGCTCTTAACACAGCTCTCCTTGTGTTCTATAAATTTGAGTATGTTTGCCTTCATTTTCATTGAATTCTAGAAAGTCTTTAATTTCTTTCTTTTTTCTTCCAGAACAAGTTATCATTGAGTAGATAGTTGTTCAGTTTCCATGAGAATGTGAACTTTCTGTTGTTTTGTTGTTATTAAAGTCCATTCTTAGTCCATAGTGATCTGATAGAATTCAAGGGATTATTTCAACCTCCATGTATCTATTGAGGCTTGTTTTATGTCCAATTATATGGTCAGCTTTAGAGAAGGTCCTGTGAGATGCTGAGAAGAAGCTATGTTCTTTTGTTGTGGGGTAGAATGTGCTGTAGATTATAACTTGGAGTGCAGTGTAATGCAGTAGCCATAAAGTGTAATCTGTGTTTGTTGACAACAATTCCAGGAATCAGCTCTTCATTAGTGTTGGGTTTTACTTTTTGAAAAGAGTATGAGGCCTGGAGAAGAGGGTGAATGTACACAATAATACACAAGCAAAATAGCCTCACAAAAGATTAACCTTAGAACTCATAGATGACAAAAGTTATGAAGAGTGGCACAGATTTTTTTTTTAAACCATATGCATGATGATAACATTTAGTAATTAACTGGTGTTCCGAGTTTTCTCAACAGGTCCTTATCTCTCTAAAATTGCTATATATCTTCATTTGCTTAATATTTGCAGTGTTTAGTATTAGAAAAAATTCAGAAATTAAGCAGTATTGTGGACACTAAATCAAAGGATGAAAACCTGTGAACGTTTGTCCAGGTGACATTCATAAACAAATCAATTTTTACTTTATGCAATTGTAGTGAAATACCTTAAAATACTCCATTTTAAAGTGCTTGTCTATATATTCACATTTAAATTATATGTTAATCATAAAAATTGTAAAAACATATACCAATTTTACTTTTGCATTTACCTGAAAATCAAATGAAACTGCACATTTCATATTTTCACCTGGAAATCTGATATTAATAATTTTAGCTGGTAAAATCAATGCTAGAATTTCTTGCATTCTTTTACTTTTCTACTTTCAATATCCGAGTCCCACATTGATCCTTAAACAATGTTCAGCAGCTTTTAAGTTCATAGAATTTTATTTTTCTTCGAAAAAAATATTCATGAAGGTAGTAATAAATATGATCGCTGATATTTAATTTCTGCAATATACTTGAGAGCTAAAGCTCTTGTGTAAAAGAATCATAAAATTCAAGAGTCAGTTTAGGAATCATAGAATCCAAGTCAAGGAGGATTATAAAGCTCATATTGCCATAAGACCCGTGGCAGTTTCTACTCACCATTCACAAAGGTTCTGATTTCCTTCTCCAAAATTATTCTCTCTTTTGCTCTAGAGAGAAGGAATTTGTAGTTTTCACGTAATTTATGATGTTCCCAGAGGTGATAGCATTTAATTTGTTCAGTTTATTATCTGTAAATTCTCCAAGAGAATATAAACACAATTGCATTGATGTCATACAACTTTTCCCCACTGAGAAAACATAAAGGCAGCTCATAACAAATAAAAAATTAAAAAAAAACAACAAGAATAATCTGAGGAGTTTCGTGGATACCCAGAGGGTTTATGGTCCCTGATTAAATAGGTTACATAGGCAAGGATTGAGGCATTAATGGAAAGCACTGTGGTGCCAGTTTATTCCTATAAAATAATGAAGTGTCATATTAGTCATCTTCATCATTTTTAATGTGGCTGTTATCACACAGAAGATATTGAATGCATTTTTCATAGTAAAATATTAAATAAGCTGTCTCTATTGTTGACTTTGGAGAAGATAAGGGTCCCATCACAGTATGATGGAAATGCATTATATCTGTGTACTTTATCTTCACTTTCTTTATAGTTTTAAGGATTTTCTTTTTATCAACAACTGGATGAAAAATGCTAATTAAAAGAAAACCATCTTTTATTTTTGTCTACATGGCATGGCTTTGTGTTTTTTAGGTGCTCATCACTATGAAAGGATTATTGCTCTTAGTGATGGCCTATGTTGCTGACTGTTAACTTTTAATTTTATAATATGATGATTAAAATCTATATAGTGCTGATCATTGTGTTGTGTATAGGTGGAATTATCCATTTACTAATACAGAAAATAATTCTAAGGAGAGAATGCTCACTATGTTGAAGACAACTTTTTTATGAGCATATTCTTAACACATTATTGTATATCATCAAGTATTTCACAAGTAGGAAGTACAAAGTTGAACTTTGTATATCAGGCTAATGTGTAAAAGTTGACATAGCCACAAAGTATACTCAGATGCAAGATAGGACCAGTTGCTAAAAATTTAATGCAATGTTTGATATCTACCCCAGATTTCTTAACACAGCCCTCCTTGACTTGCACTCTTCTTTACTCTCACTCAGCATATTCACTTTCCATACTCTTTTATTATTCATGAATACAAACAAAACTGAAAACAAAAAAAGCAAAACTGGATCATGTCAGTTTTTCAAACAAATGTTTATCTCTGTGAAGAAAGGCAGGGAGGTTATTTATTAATCGATATCTTTTATATCAATAGACAAGTGGCATGTATAGGACTATAGCCATATATATGTAGCACTCCTTCATGCTTACTATTTCTCTAAGAAACATTCAGAACATATTTGATGCTGGCAATCACATTAAACATAACTTTATTAAATAATATTATCTCATAATATTTAACATTTTAAAGAACATATGTCATCATTGTCTGCAATAAATCATAAGTACCAATGTGAATAAAATGATATAAAACACAGAAGCCTATTTTTCAGTGGTAAAGAAGTGACTGAACCTGGATTGAGAATACATCAATACCAACACATCAGGTAGTGTAGTATGAAAACAGGAGCAGATTTCAGTTTGATAAACAACCACTGCCTGACATGTAGAATTATGGAGTTATATCATAATATGTCCCAGTGAATGATATTGTCTGAGATTAAATATAAATGAGTGTTCACTTTGGAGAACATGAGAAATCATATTCAACTTCCTCAGACTTGATTCTACAAAGGTAGTGAGAGAACAACAACAGATCTAGCAAAAGCAACTTATGTAAATGCTAATTAGAATGAAGCAGTTCATTCCTTGTCCCATATCTCTGTCTGCCTTCCAGGAAGCCTAATCCCACGCTGGAGAACCAGGTAAGATACCCA